TGCCACAGGAAGCGGGACCTGTGAATAAAGTCTATTCACGATGATTCAAGGTCGTACCACGCAGTGGGGAGGTGGGGGAGATCAGGGAAGCTTCATGGAGAAGGGGTCGTTTGATCTGGGCCTTGATGGAAGACAGGACCCTCCAAGCCAAATGGGAGTTGGGGAGAGAGGTTGTCCCAGATCAGAAGGACAGCAGGGTCAGAGTCAGCAAGACACATGTGCAGGACATGCTCTGCACACAGCTGGCAGGAGCAGGTGGCTTGCTCGGGCAGGCGGGTGGTGGGATTGAAAAGGAAAGCTGAATCCAAATTGTGCAATGGGAACAAATATGGACCAGGAGTCAGCAGACGTGGGGTAAGGCTGGGCTTTGCCTATGATCCCTGTGGACTGTGAGGAAGACGTGTGCCCAGTCTGCTTCTCTCGGTAAACCAAGGAGCCTCGCACCTGCTCTTGGCTTCCATAGCAGGTCACAATGGCCTCTTCCTCCCCCTTGAGGTGGCAGTGGGAGAGCACGGGGGGGGGGGGGGAGAGCTGGTGGACACCTGCTGCATCTAGGGATGGGGCTCCAGGTGATTTCAAGCTGTGCGACAAGCATGCTGGGGTGTTTAAAGGGTCACAAGAAGGAGCACCAGGCTTACCAGCTCCAGGCTGCAGCAGATACCAGGCCCTGAGGGTGCTGAGCCCCTGGCGGCTCTGTACAACAACGGCCTTGATGCCTGCCCCTGCCCTCCTGGGAGCAGAGATCGGAACGTGAATGAAAAGTAGAGTCTGACGTATGCCAGACATCATCACCCAGGTAGTATGTGCAGGCGTGGGATGCACATGAATGTGCATGTGTGGGGGAGTGCGTCTGTGTGTCCGTGTACATGCACACCTGGTGTTCAGGAGTCAGTGACCCCTTTTAAGAATGAAATAACCCGCTACAAACAACCTGTATCCATAATGCCTGGACCATGCGCTCTGATGCTCCAGGAGGATCAGCTGGGGCTGGACGTCTGTCCCAGGTCCTCCAGTCTGGGAGCTAGATTCTCTCCCCATCACCGTGACAGGTGGCTCACGTGCACTTGGTGTGGTGGAGCATCGTGTGCATCACATGCCCAGGCGCTTACTCGCTAGGTATGGGGGGCAGGAGCAGCGGGAGCCCCTGAGAGGCCAGGCGGGAAAGGGAGAGGAGAACCAAGAACGCTACACCAAAACCATAATGCCTTGGTGGAGCATGGCGGGGAGACTCGGGAGATAGGGCCAAGTAACTCACAGCGAGCTTCGTGTCTGGCTTGGGGTCATTTGAAAGTAAGAGCGAGCCCATGGCCGGCCTTGTTTCTGTGACTTCCTTCCGTGTCCCATTTCTTCCCTCCTCTAAAAGGGTCCTCTTCAACCCTTCTTTCCGCTGGGCTATTCTGTCTCCCCTGGCCCCACCTTTTATCTTTTTCCCTGTAAGCATCAAGTGATGCAGGGTGACCTGCTGGTCTCTTCCCCTGGGTCCATTCCAGGACAGTTCGCCTCGCCCTCCCATCACCCAGCAAGCCTGCTAGCAGTGTGGGCAGCTCCCTCCCTGCTTTGACTCAGAGCAACTGGACCCTGTGGGGTTCCTGCTACTGCGTCCCCTGGGCCTCAATGGGCTTTCAGAGATCACCATATTTGACATCATTTTTATTCCTATGTTCTTTCTTAATGTCTACCAGCCTGGTGCCACTGTAGATAAAGACATTCTCCCTTTCCTCCCAGCCCCAATTGATTCCTCTGTCAGGGAGCCGTTGATGGAATACAGCTTCCCCAGGTCTGATTTTCAACTAGCCAGACGGTAAAGCTTGACTGCGCGGCTCCAGAATTTCTCTGTTGATGTATGGTCTGCAGCTTCTGTACAGCGGCACAAAGATCTGGGTACTGGAATCCTCAGGGGCACAAGCGAGGTGCTCCTTAGGCCCACACGGTGCTCTCCAACCCTGTCACAGTCTCTTTTGGTGGCCAACACCAGAGAACCAGCACTTACTCTTATGACTTCCTGAAGTTCCCATCCCGAGACTCTCACAATGCTTTACCAAATTTGGAGACACACCAGGGAGAGAGCCTCCTCCAGGTGCTGGGGGCAGAAGTGGATGCTGACACTCAGACCCTCCAGGTTGGCCCAAAAAAGGCGACCCTACCACGTGGGAGGAACTGGGGACCCTCAGTTTTCTGTGCTCTTGTGGGGGACTGGAGAGCTTTGGTAGCAGGCCTGGGACAGAGGGACTATGGGGCAGCCTGGGGGTGGAGTTGTAACTGAATGGTGCTGAGGGCAGCTTTGTCCTGTATGGACTTCACTCTGGGACCACACGACCCAGCTGTTCATCTAACTAGCCAATGACCTGGTCCATGAAGAGTTTTATGGAGTGTAAGAAGGAGCTGTCAGGAATCCCTTGGAAAATCCCTTTTTTCTTTACCCAAAAAGGATCTGATTTCCTGTGGGAAGCACCTGTTGAAGATCAGACCATCAGGATGCCCCACAGGTCACTGGTCCCAGGGTTGATGGCGTGCATTGCTGGAGGGGTCCTGTTGCTCCCGAGTGGCCCTGGGTCTCATTTGTCCATCTCCTGGCAAAATCTCGCTGCTTTTCTTTGGTGCCTTTGCCCTTTCCCTGCTCCCTGTCTGGGGTTGGGCTGGTGCAGACTCCCTGCAACCTGGCCCCACCCCATTCCCTTTACACTAACCCTTTCTACTGTGCTCTGAGGGCTCATCCACCCTCCATCCCCTCCACCCAGACCTCCCTGTCCCCTCCTTCCCCAGCCCAAACCTGGCTGGACCTCACATTCCCGCGGCCTCTCAGCGCTGAACCTCGTTTCAATTTCTTCCCTCGTGGGCCTTGGCTCCTGGAGGGAGCCTGTTGTCCTCCGCCCACCTGTCACTTCCAGACTCTCCTCCTCTGGGCCAGTACTTGTGTTGGGGACCCTGGCTGCTCACAGATTACCCATGTTTTCCTCCCGTTGCCCTAGTAGCAGGACCTTGGTGCCTTTGTGTATTTGCACCCATGCTGCCTCGGGGACATGTTTCTGCCACTAGCAAAGCTGGAGGTGTGAGGGGCTGACACCCTAACCTGCTGCTAGCTGCTCACAGCGTCGGCGGTCGCCACCTCTGTCCAGGCCCCACCTTCACCGTGACCCCTGCAAAGCACCCGGCTGGGTTCTGCCCTCCGCGGCCGACTTCACTTCTAGCTCCTGGTGGAAACCTTACGTCAGGCCATGTCACCTCTGCTCCAAGCTCCTGAGGTCCCCATCGTAGTCAGGGGCTGGATTCCAAAAGTAAATACTTAAAAGATGAATCTGATATCAAACATTGGGGAGGAAGTGAGGAAACGAAGCTCCCCCAGCCTCTGGGCTGGAGTGGGCTGGAGTGGGCTGGGGGCCGAGTGTCAGAACATCCATCCGAGCAGAGAGCCCTGTGTGAGGACAGGTGTCACCCATGTTTCTTACTGGAAGGTGAGCAGTGGGTAGACAAGAAGCTTGCTTGCTGCTGCAGGGGCCAGGGGTCAGTGGGAGCAGCGGCTCCTTCAGCTGGGCCAGCACCCCCTAGGAAAGGGGCTCTCCCGCCAGGGCCATCAGGGACACCAGCCATTCGCTGCCCGGGCCAGGCCTCCCCTGCTGGCCCCTTTCCCTTCTCCTTCACCTTCATTCAAGTCTCACGTGCACAGGATGGAGCCACCCCTTAGTTGTGCCCCCTCAGTACCCAGGCTTTTCCTCTGTACCTTCAAACACTAAGTGGATCCCATGCCCCCCAACCCTCTGCAGCCTGCCCCGGCTGGGAGCATCATTTCGTCACTTCCTCCCCAGTCAGCCACGCCCATCATCCATCACTCAAGAGTGCGCATGCCTGCAGGTTTCTACAGGGCCCAACCCCTGCCAGCCTCATGAGGGCTTCTGTCTTTGTTGGAAGCCGTGACAACCGCCACTGCAGTCACTGCCATCCTCACATTTGCAGAAGTTCACCAACGTGTGCATGTATGTGTGTGTGGTACCGTGTGTGACATGCTCTATGTTGTGCCACATTATATTATTTGTGGTATATGTATGTTGTGTTGTTATACACGTGTGTGCACTCCCTCGTCAGTGTTGTGTTTTATTGTGTGTGTGAGGCGAGCTATGTGGCCATGTGCACCTATGTGCTGAGCAGTGTCTCCTTCTCTGAGTCCCGCAGGGAACTCACAGACGTCTGGGTGGCTGCTCATGTGCAGGCACAGTCCTGCTTTCTGACTGGCTGGCCCCTTCTTGCAGCCCCTCCCTCCCCTCTTGCACAACCACACTCTGGTGCCAGTGCCCAAACCACCCTGGGATTTGAGGATACAGGCTGTTACTTCACAAACTCAATAAATAAGCCCAGTAAGAAGGCTGAGGCGGCTGGATATTTGTCAGACAAATGGTTTTCCCGGGGAGCATAAGAGCCAGCTGATGGCTCACTACTGTGATTTGCAAGGACCGGAGCTGTGAGTCATGCCCAGGGTTGGCCTTCCAGCCGCAGAAGGTAATTATTTCTTGCACTGTGCCCACAGCCCAGCAGCAGCCCCTACCCATGTGCCTGTATGCAACTCACCCAGGTCACTGTTAAATTAGTTCTTTTATTTTGTTTCCTAATGAGAAGAGGCCCTTTACAATTTTTATTAAGTCAGCAGCTTCAACATTAATACCTAATGTCCAATCTCTCACAGTGGGAATGTTGAAGCGTCAGAGCCAGGAAAATGAAAGATAACTTACACGATGCTCCGGTGCGGAAACTCACTAGTTGAGTGGCCCTCAGCCCACCAGGCCTGAGGACAGCACTCAAAAGGAGCAAGTCACGAGAAGCTAAGACCCCAGTGCCCTGTGCTGCTATGAACAGACCAGGGCCCCTCCCTGTTGTCTGGGTGTGGGGGGGGTGCCTGGCATTCGAGGCCCTGTCACTCACTCTCAGTGCTTTAGAGGGAATGGCAAGAGACAGGGGTGGTCTGTGATGGGGGTACTTAAGACGAGAGCCACCGTGGTCATGACACTTACCTGAGACCAGAACAGGCACTGATGCTGGCCAAGGAATCATCGTATCCTTGCACATGTCCATGGTAGTAACAGTGACCCTGAAAGGGACAGGGGAGAAGGCTGGGTCACTCAGAATGCTTTTTGCCCACTTTCAAGCCAATGGCCTCTAATCTTCCACTTGTTTTGAGCTGTAGAATGTCTTTGTTCTGACACATTCAACGCTAAGCCCAATGTGACCGAGCCAGGGGCACGTGATTTACTTAGAGATTAATAATTGGGCTTTAAGATTCATCAGTTCCATTCTTGCCCCTCTGACGTCCTACAGGGAAGCCCCGATGCAGACTGTTTTACAGAATCCAGGGCAGAACAAGTCACATTGACATTGTCATCTGACCCTCACATCAATTGTCTTTTGTAATGAGAGGAAGAACTGTAGCGAGGTATTTCAGCACCTGTGAAGCAAAGTAGATCGAGGCCCAAGTCTATGGCTCGTGAAAACAGGAAAGCACAGGCAAGGAAGGGGGGGGGAGAAAAGGAAGAGGGGCTGCACCGAATACCTGAGTGAGAGTTGAAAGTCTCTCATCAGGAAAGCAAAACAGGAAGCTCCTCTAAGACAAAAGCGCCCTAATGTCCCGCTTGCAGAGAGAACCACAGCGGGATGCCTCCTTAGTGAAGACAGATGTCCATCCAGAATCCAGCTCACTTTCACTGCTGGACACGGGTCATGCTGTAGCGCCCATGAAGGGACCACTGAGCACATCCAGTGCTCCTCCCCAGGTTCTCTGGAAGCCGGCTGCCCGCAAGGTCCCCGAGGGTTTCAGGCTGTTTCCATCTCAGCAAAAGGCTGTCTCACTCACGAGGACAGAATTTAGTGGCCAGTTGTCCTGCCCAGCAGAGACTACCTTGGCTTTGCTAAGAATAAAGGCCCAGTTTGAGTGATGGAAAAAACCAGATGACACCTTAAGAAGGGGCTGAAGATGATCGTCACAAAGTGGAGTACAAGATTTGGGGGTCATCTGAAAGGTGACGAAAGGAGGGAGCTGTGGGGAGATTTGTTACTTTGACTTTTTCTTATTGATTCAGAAGTTCTTTATAATCCAGAATATTAATACTGTACCTGTTATTACGTGGGAAGTATCTTTTATCTTTCGTTGCTCATGACATTTTCTCGTCTTGAGAGTTACTGCTTTTTGTAAATTCAAGGCTATCCATCTTTCTCTTTCTGAATTTTGTGTGTTGGTAAAGATGGCTTCCTGAAGGTCACAGATACTTCCTTCTTTATTTTCTTGTTTTTATAGTCTTGGTAATTAGCTCTTTAATCTTTCTGGAGTTTATGCAATACCTGGAAGTGTGAGGTTGGAATCCTACTTTCCCCTACAAAACAAGCACCAGCTGTTCCCATTGCCACTTGTCCTTCCTGATTTAGGGTGCTACCTTGGCACACGCTGAATACCCACAATAAGTCTGCGGCTCCACTTTGGGGCCCGGGAGTCTACTGAGGCAAACCCCCATTGGTTTGTTCCTGTGCCAATGCTCCAATGTTTCAATCACGACTGTTCTATATGACACTCTGATATCGGACAGAACGAGTTCTCATTTAAATTTAAGATGAATGCCCACCACGGATCTCCCCATGTCCACGCGGAACCCTCCAGCAGCTCCTCCCCTGTCCCTCCCCAGCCTGGCTCCGGATCTTCCTGTTCCGTCATTTCATAGCCATAGAAGCACACAATACCTGGCCTCCTTTCTGGGTTCTTTCATTGGTAAGAACCTGTGTTTGCACAATAGAGATCTGTCCTGTTCATGTACAAGGTGAGCCTCTCCTTCTAACTGGGTCCTCTTTATGCCCTTTGGTCAAGAACAATTTTTACATGCAGCGATGAGAAAGTTTTTAAGTTTATGCATAGGTACTGTATAGCTTTGTCAATATTATTATAAGATCTTTTTTCCTATTCTGCCTTATAGATGGTTTTTAATGTAAAGGGAAGTGTTGGGTTTTGTAAGGTGATCTTATATCGGGCACCTTGCTGGACCATCTGATCAGTTGGACAGTTTGGGTTTTCTCTTGTTGATCATATCAATTGCCAACAGCACAAGTGTTCTGGGCTCCTCTTTGGGTCTTTCCCTAGCATACTGGGGAGTGTGATGGCTGGTGTCCAGGGGCCAAGGCCGGCAAGGGAAGGAGAGGGCAGGACAGCACATAGCCAGTAGAGGGAAAGCACATTTCAAGGCAGTGGGCAGTGGTGGTGAGAGGGTTGGCAGATCAGGGATGGGCTGAGTTCATCCTGGCTGAGGATGCAGGGGCAGGGGTGTGGTACTCACAGTGCCCTTACCCCCCCCCCCCCGCCCCGCCCCCAGTGAGTCTGGCCTCTTTTGTGAGCATGTGGCTTGGGCATGGGATACTGGGAGGGTGGCAGTCACATCAGCCATCCCCCACGCCAGAAGGGAGGGCAGCCCATGCTTCCCGACACCTGTGCGAGATGCTTTGGGACGCTCCTGTGTCTCCCCTCTCTAGACGACTCTTGGTCACCTGCCTATGGGAGGCACAGTGGTGATTCTCCAAACAATTCCATAACTGGATTGCAACACCTCAGGGCACCAGAGGGGTCTCACGGCTCCCAGGCTCTGCACCACAGGCAGATTCAGCCCCGTGGATTTCAGGAGGGGATTTCAGCCCTAGGGACACTATAGGCACATGAAGACTGAGGACAATTCCAAGTCATCGGCCGCTGGAGTTCAGGTGCCAGGGCTGCCCTCCCTCCCAGAATCACTGCCTGGGGTTTGACTGTTGCTGACCTTTGGGGTCCAATGTAGAAGTTCCCCCATCTTAGAAAAATATGACATGGCAGTATTGGCAGCTAGATACTGCTTAAAAATTAAAAATCAAATTATGACAATAATCTTTAGTGGTTTTTTTTGCATTAAGTGACAATAATCTTAATTACTGACCTCTGAAATCTCAAACTCATCTATTTTCAATCTCCATTTATTTTTAATAGATTATTTATCAAATGTACTTTCAAAGTAAATACCCAGAAATATAAGCTCATTAAAGCAGAAGCCAAGAACAAATTGGTATCAAATTAATTTCTAATTCAACACCTTGGTTGAATGGCTGCTTGTAAAAGAAGAGGGAGTGGATTGCAGCTATCACAAATTGTTCCTTAAAGGAAACCATCTCTCCTCTCCCACCCTTGACTGGAGTCAGCCATCATTTCTCAGCTGATCCCACTCTGGTACCTTCGGACATGGACTGATACGCCCATTGTCACTCCATCAGGGATTCACTGCTAAGATTACTAAGCACAATTACTATGGCTCTAACTGAAGAGTCTCTGGGATAACTCCAACTTCCGGAAATGTAGTTCTTTTCAACAGGACTCACCAAATGGGAACAGATGTGATTTGGTTTTTATCACGCAGTGAGTGGATCATGGCATAGTTCTGAACAATGTGCTTGTCATACCAGGGAAATCTGTAGGAGTGAAGGAGACACTTTCTGTCCCTGTAAGGGGTCATGACCTCCAGGGAAGGGGCAGAGGCAGAGAGGGCCACAAGGGCAGTACCATGCCCAGTGTGCACCTGTATCAGGCCAGTCGTCTCCACACACTGAGGCTGAGGCAGGAGCCAAGCGGGTCTCCTGAACTCATGGACACTTGGCCTATTGGGTCTGGAGGTGCCACACCAGTGGGTGACATGGCAGGCAGCATCGTGCCAGAGGAGTTCTGTTCCTCAGGGCCTGCTGATCATCACTGCCCTTGCTGGCGAACTGTGGCCTCTGCTCTCCACACTTCCTGGCCCGAATCCTTCCTCTCTCTGATGCCCCCAAAGACAACAAGCCCTGTGGTCTTTTTGTTCTGCTCATCTCTCTAAAGCCATTGCTGGACAAAACACTGTCCCATGAGGACAGCCTACTTGGCTTTATTCTGCTGATGCACTGCATTCTATCTCTACCAACAAGACCCGGCGTGGAGAGGAGCGCCAAGCACGCATAACCACAAAATTACACCTTTCCCTTTGCAAAGCCTCTAACCATGTATTTTATATACTTACTATTTAACCTAATGCGTTTCCCCACTCCAGTAAAATACATTTTCCTTCTGTTTAATACTATCTATCAAATATAATGCTGGGTAAGAAGAAGATGGAATAAGAACTCTTGAACTTGAAAATTGGTAGCCCTCAACTGTATGCCCTGTGGGAAGTCAGAACAAGCTCCTGTTACTCAACTCTCAGTGGACCAGAAAGAAGGGAATTTTATGTGCTAAAGTGGTAACAAAAATGGCCCAACCTTGTGATTACAAAGGACCGTGACCAGACAAGTCTGTAAGAGACTCTGCTGAGAGAACATATTTTCAGTGCTGTTTTTCTGGGGGCTCAGAGGGCTCCTCATCCCTGCCACAAGCCACATGGCAAACTACCTGAATTCAGCGCTTAGATCATAAGATGCTTTAGCCAGAAGGAAACTGTGGGCCGTCTGAGGCCAACTTTGCTCTTCCGGCCAGATTCTACCCTGAACAGACAGATGTGGAAACTGAGGCCCAGTTGGCTAAACAGTCAACAAAGGTCACAGAGGCAATGGATGGCAGGACAGGACCTCAATCCAGCTTCTGACTCCAGGCCAGACAGCACCCCTCCAACCCTCCTTGCTGTCTCATGAGCATCTCTTCTTTTGAAAAGAAAAGCTTTCATATAAAATGCAGACTTGCAATATCCACTGCGCCTCCTCATGATGTCCCTCCAGGGATGGCAGGACAGTGAAGTCATCTGCACACTCAGAGCAGACATGGGGGTAGATGGCACGTGGCCTGCATTTCAGCACGACTGTGGTCAAGCCTTTGTCCCCTTGTGCGGAACACCGAGCCTCCACAGATGACATGTTTGCTTGGGACTCAAACACGGAGACAGGCACTCAAGCAGCCCAGGTGCCTGCAGAGCTGTTACCCCGTACTTGGCCCTGTGCCTGCGCAGGACAGGATGGTTAAGGAGCAGTCGCCACACCCATGCTTCCCGGCCATCTCTGCTCCACAGCTCTAACAAGAACCAGGCCTAGCTGAAGACTGTACAGAACAAACCTCGGGCCCTTTGAGTTGTATCG